GTGTGGTGTGGTGTGTGTGTGTGGTGTTTTGTTGTGGTGTGGTGGGTGTATGTGGGTGGTGGTGGGGTATGTGTGTGTGTGTGTGTGGTGTGGTGTGGTGTGGTTGTGTGCGGTGTGTGTGGTGTGCGGTGTGCGTGTACTGGGCCTCACCACATCTCTGTCCACCCTCTTGGCCATCATCTCCGGAGTCTCATCAGATCTGCGAGTAGACGCTGAAGCGGTCCGAATCTGAGCAGGGACACGGTAACGCGCACAGAGACACGCGCAAGATACACAGCACACACGAGACACGCACGCAGAGACACGCGCACAGAGACACGCACACACAGATACACACGCACCCACAGAGACACGCGCACACAGATACACACGCACAGATACACACGCACACAGAGACACACACAGATACACACGCACACACAGAGACAGCACACAGAGACCGCACACACAGAGACACGCGCACACAGAGACACACACACAGATACACACGCACGCACAGAGACACGCACGCACAGAGACGCGCACGCACAGAGACACGCACGCACAGAGACACGCACGCACAGACACACGCACGCACAGATACACGCACACACACAGAGACACGCACGCACAGAGACACGCACGCACAGAGACACGCACACACAGAGACACGCACACACAGAGACACACGCGCACAGAGACACAGATTACACACCCCCACTAATTACCCGCGCCTGATGATTCTGAACGTCTCACGTGTTGGCAAGAGCGCCGTGCGAGTCGTGTGAATGACACGAGTGTGACACGCGTGTAACACGCATGTAAACACGCGAGCGAGGCCTCCGCCGTACCTCTGTCCAGTGTGCTCGAGTCGTTGGGCGTGCGGCTGCGGTTGGAAGCTGGTGAGTGGCTCTCCGAGTAGATGCTCGCCGCTCCCGGCGCGGCGACGGACTCATCCTCATGCGCTCCTGGTTGAACCTGCACCACCACCGCCATCACACACCACACACACCACACACACACACCACACCACCACACCACACCACACACACCACACCACACACACCACACCACAACACACACCACACACACCGACCACCCAAGAAGCCCGTCAGTAGCGAGTGGCGGCGCCTACGAAGGCCGGCACACGGCGGCACACGAGGGAAGGAGCTGGGTGGGTGCTGGCCAGCGCCATGCCCGGCCGCATTTGCAAATTAAAATGATCGAGTGAGACTCGGATAAGTAGCTCTTGCTGATGATGCAGCCTGGTGTACAGGAGGTCGTGGGTTCGATCCCAACCCTGACGACGCCTGCTGCTGTCTATTTGGAGCTTGCGTGTCTCGCTCTCTCTCATCATCACACCCGGTGCTAGGATATGTTAACTACCTCGCCTGGTATACAGAACGTCGTGGGTTCATTACCGACCCTGACGCCTGCTGTATTTTTTCGCGGTGTCTCGCTCTCTCCCAGTGGTCACGTGGATTTTTCTCCGGGTCCTCCGCTTTTCCCCCGCCACCCCCCTCCACATTTAAGAATGGACGTCACCACGCCTGTAGGAGTCAGTGGCCGCTGCCATAAATATCCAGACGACGACGACGACGAGCCGCACCTTCCGTCGCGCTATCGTTTGCGACAGACAGGTCGCTTCCGCAAACAGGAGCGACATTACGTAGCTCAGTGGGGGCCCTCACCAGGGTGCTATTCAGGTGAAAGAGTCGAGCGAAATGAAAAAGATTCCTTCTAGAGCAGGGGTCGGCAACCAAATAACAAGAAGAGCCATTTCTTTCCAATTCGGTACAAAATTCAGTATTTCAAGAGCCGCAATGCATCTATGTACATACGTACATATCGTCAAGAAGCAGCCCATAAGAGCCACATGCGATCCGGAGCCGTAGGTTGCCGACCCCTGTTCCAGAGTGCCCCGGCTCGGGGAGCCACCAGGGGCGGTGGATCTCCGCGAGCGACGCTGACGCTCGGCCAGAGTCGGAGGGGCGGAGAGAAAAAAACCCCAAAATCTCAAGCCGACAAAGAGAAAGGCCCCGAACGCCGTGGCGGCGTTGGGATTGCCGCGACATCACCGGCGGACACGCAGCGGGGCCGGGCGCGCCGCAAGGTTGGGGTGAAGCCGCAGTGGCACGCGTGACACCCTGCACACCACGCGTCCCACCCATCACTACCTCCTCCTCCGCCCTGCACACCACGTGTCCCACCCATCACTACCTCCTCCTCCGCCCTGCACACCACGTGTCCCACCCATCACTACCTCCTCCTCCACCCTGCACACCACGTGTCCCACCCATCACTACCTCCTCCTCCACCCTGCACACCACGTGTCCCACCCATCACTACCTCCTCCTCCACCCTGCACACCACGTGTCCCACCCATCACTACCTCCTCCTCCACCCTGCACACCACGTGTCCCACCCATCACTACCTCCTCCTCCGCCCTGCACACCACGTGTCCCTCCCATCACTACCTCCTCCTCCGCCCTGCACACCACGTGTCCCACTCATCACTACCTCCTCCGCCCTGCTCACCACGTGTCCCACCCATCACTACCTCCTCCACCCTGCACACCACGTGTCCCTCCCATCACTACCTCCTCCACCCTGCACACCACGTGTCCCACCCATCACTACCTCCTCCACCCTGCACACCACGTGTCCGACCCATCACTACCTCCTATTTCCAACCTACAAGTTGTTTACCCTATATACTGCCATGAAATCCTTAGCAGGCTCCGTGCACACCTGTACACGTGTGTACGTGTGTGTTGAACTTTTTTCGCACCGTATGTAGCCAAACGTACTAATCGGAGGAGTTCTAAGGCCACAAGAGCATTTGGAGGGGTCTTGTGTTACACCCTCCCACTTCCTAACCCACCACAGCGGCCCAGACACTCTCTCCACCTATGTCCCCAGTCAGCACAGCTGCCCCTACAGCTGCCCCTACAGCTGCCCCTACAGCTGCCCCTACAGCTGCCCCTACAGCTGCCCCCACAGCTGCCTCACAGCTGCCCCACAGCTGCCCCACAGCTGCCCCACAGCTGCCCCTACAGCTGCCCCACAGCTGCCCCACAGCTGCCCGCACCACCAACCTCAGGGTCTCGGGCCGCCGGTTCTTGCGACCGTCCTTGCTGTCGGCGATGGCGCTGTCGATGTCGTTCTTGATCAGTTCAGCCTGCGAGCAAACATCACCACCACGGTGGCCAGGAGGTGTTCACTACCTCGCCTGGTACGCACGAGGTCGTCGTGGGCTCGATCCCGACCCTTGTATATATGGAGTCTGCGTGTTTTCCCCGTGGTCGTGTGTATTTTTCTCCGGTCCTCCGGTTTCTCCCCTCCAGATTTAGAATCGACGTCACGCGTTCACAAGTATTTGGCTTCCTATTCTTGGTTCTTTCGGTAAAGTCACGTAGAAGAGATATAATAAAACAATGACTTTACCGAAAAAACCAAGAATATAAATCCCTGTAGTCATGAAAGCTTTACATCGAAATGTATTTGGCTGCTGTTATAGATTTCCACACGATGATGATGACGACAAGCCACTTTCTTTGAGGCTGTCAATTCTGACGGCCAGGTCGCTTCGAACAAAAACAAAGTGACCTATCAGCTCAGTGCAGGGCCTCAACTGGTTAAATAATAATAATAATAAATATTTTTCGTTTATAGTTATAGGATCTCAGAGCTTGGCGAATCGTTGGCAGCGCCGCTTGACGCTGCTGCCCTTCCCCTACCCCACGCTCGTCGTCAAGCAAATTGGCACGAATTACGACGCTGTATACGAATATATATATATATACACACGTAAACAAAACAAGTCGGATCGTTGCAAATTCACAGCCGGGAGACCGGACGTCGAGGGAGCAACGCTCGCTTGGGTCGACGCGTTGCCGCCCGCGAGCCGCTCCCCGCCAGAGGTCGCAACCGGGTACCCGATACCCGTACCCTACCCGATACCCGGCTACCCGTACCCGGCCGGGTACGGGTACGGGTAGCCATTTGCGACCCTGGTGCGGCCGGGTACGGGTATGGGTACGGGTAGGCCGTGAGTCACTGGTGAGTAACCGTTTGTCACTCATTTCGGGGAGGGTACGGGTAGGGAACGGGTACCCGTACCCGGCTGGGTACGGGTACCCATTTGCGACCCTGGTGCGGCCGGGTACGGGTACGGGTAAGTAATCAAAACCCGTTTGCGACCTCTGCTCCCCGCTGGCGGCGGTCGCGGCAACAGACCGGCCAAGGGAGGCGTGGGGACGGCCTTTCAGGGTCACGGAGAAGCGCAGCTGAGCTGGCAGGTGAGCTGGCAGGTGAGCTGGCAGGTGAGCTGGCAGGTGATTGGTGCAACAGAGACAGCTTCACGCTCTCTCTCACTCTCTCTACGGGCTTGGACGGGGACCGGGTACTTATCTTATCTCGCACGGATGTATTATTACAGCAGCGCCGTACAACCCAAGGTCGCCTTGCGGCAGTAAATAATGTTTTACGCGAGGCGAAGAGTGGGCCGTGGTTGTTATTCGAAGTGGTGGTGTCGTCATGGTGACGGTGAGGAGGACAGGTGGGAGTGGTGAAGGAGGGGTATGGGTTGGGGGTAGTGGTAGGGTTGAGGTAGTGATAGGGGTAGTGATGGGGGTTGGGTTATGAGTGGTGATAGGGGTTGGATATGGGCAGTGATAGGGGTTGGGGTAGTGATAGGGGTTGGGGTAGTGATAGGGGTTGGGGTAGTGATAGGGGTTGGGGTAGTGATAGGAGTAGGGGGTAGTGATAGGGGTTGGGGTAGTGATAGGGGTTGGGGTAGTGATAGGGGTTGGGGTAGTGATAGGGGTTGGGGTAGTGATAGGGGTTGGGGTAGGGGTAGTGATAGGGGTTGGGGGTAGTGATAGGAGTAGGGGTAGTGATAGGGGTAGGGGTAGTGATAGGGGTTGGGGTTAGTGATAGGGGCAGGGGTAGTGAGGGCAGGGGTAGTGATAGGGGTTGGGGTAGTGATAGGGGTTGGGGTAGTGATAGGGGTTGGGGTAGGGGTAGTGATAGGGGTTGGGGTAGTGATAGGAGTAGGGGTAGTGATAGGGGTAGGGGTAGTGATAGGGGTTGGGGTAGTGATAGGGGTGGGGGTAGTGATAGGGGCAGGGGTAGTGATAGGGGCAGGGGTAGTGATAGGGGCTGGGGTAGTGATAGGGGTTGGGGTAGTGATAGGGGTTGGGGTAGTGATAGGGGTTGGGGTAGTGATAGGGGTTGGGGTAGTGATAGGGGTAGGGTAGTGATAGGGTTGGGGTAGTGATAGGGGTTGGGGTAGTGATAGGGGTTGGGGTAGTGATAGGGTTGGGGTAGTGATAGGGGTTGGGGTAGTGATAGGGGTTGAGGTAGTGATAGGAGTATGGGTAGTGATAGGGGTTGGGGTAGTGATAGGGGTTGGGGTAGTGATAGGGGCAGGGGTAGTGATAGGGGTAGTGATAGGGGTAGGGGTTGAGGTAGTGATAGGGGTTGGGGTAGTGATAGGGGTTGGGGTAGTGATAGGGGTTGGGGTAGTGATAGGGGTAGGGGTAGTGATAGGGGTAGTGATAGGGGTAGGGGTTGAGGTAGTGATAGGGGTAGTGATAGGGGTTGAGGTAGTGATATGGGTTTGGGTAGTGATAGGGGTTGAAGTACTGATAGGGGTTGAGGTAGTGATATGGGAGGGGGGACAGGGGGCTCGTCAATCCACTGATGATTTTCCCACAAAGTAGTACGCATTTTACTCGTCCTCTCCGGGATGATGATGATAACGATGACGATGTTTCTGGGACTTCGGGCCCGAGCTCATCACCCCAATTATTTTTGTGTGTGTAAACATCGCCTCGAGGGAGACAAAGGCGGCCGGGCGTGGTTGCTGTCCACCAAACCCCTCCTGTGCCGTGCCGGCCTTCATTAGGTGCTGCTACCTCGCTAACAGCACTTGGCCCAAGTCTGTTGGAGGCTATCGGAGGGGTGATCGTTTTCCTTGCAGTGCGATACAAATTGAGCGGTCGCATATGCGGGGACGACACTCTAATGCGGCGATGGAAGCTCATTTCATGCTAATCTCTCTCCCTAACCTCCCCCATTAACACAACTGACGTGCTTGCGTGCGGGGATGGAATTCCTTCCCAGCTCAGACCCCGCTTGCTTGCCCATCGCCACGTAAATAACCTCTTGTTGTAACAGCTCTCTCGCTGGCTCAGCAGCTCCACTGCTGGATAAAAATAAAATTCCACCCGAGGACGACCGCCTGTGTTGCGATCGAAACGTCGTGATATATTATTTTGTAATTTTATTTTTCTACCTACGTGACTTTACCGAAAGAACCAAAGAGTATGGTCGCGTAGCGGTTCGCGTGCTGCGCTAACCAAATATCCCCCCCCGCCTCGTATCGTCTCAACGGACCATTGGTCTTTGTTTTGTCTGTCTGGACGTTGAACTTCCTTCGCACCGTACGTGAGTGGCCAACAGTGCGGAGAGATTGCGGCCCGGTGCGGACGCGACGGCGATCACTCACCCCAACCTCGACGCAGTGGAAGAGGTGCAGGTCTGGCCTGGCCTGGCCCACGTCGGTGCACGTGAGCGCCAGGATGGAGCTGTAGTTGGGCTCCGTGAGCACCGCTTGACACGACATGATGGAGACGAGCGTGAAGTTCTCCAGCTCCTCCTGGGAACGCACGGACACACACGGAGTCACGCGGCGTTCGCCGGCGGGAGATCATACAAACGCCACTCACTCGCTCTGTAGAACAGGGGGAGGTCATACAAACTCCACTCACTCACTAGCTCTGTAGAACAGGGGGAGATCATACAAACTCCACTCACTCTGTAGAACAGGGGGAGATCACACAAACTCCACTCACTCTGTAGAACAGGGGGAGATCATACAAACTCCACTCACTCGCTCTGTAGAACAGGGGGAGGTCATACAAACTCCACTCACTCACTTTGTAGAACAGGGGGAGGTCATACAAACTCCACTCACTCTGTAGAACAGGGGGTGATCATACAAACTCCACTCACTCTGTAGAACAGGGGGAGATCACACAAACTCCACTCACTCTGTAGAACAGGGGGAGATCATACAAACTCCACTCACTCTGTAGAACAGGGGGAGATCATACAAACTCCACTCACTCTGTAGAACAGGGGGAGGTCATACAAACTCCACTCACTCTGTAGAACAGGGGTGATCATACAAACTCCACTCACTCTGTAGAACAGGGGAGATCACACAAACTCCACTCACTCTGTAGAACAGGGGGAGATCACACAAACTCCACTCACTCTGTAGAACAGGGGGAGATCATACAAACTCCACTCACTCTGTAGAACAGGGGGAGGTCATACAAACTCCACTCACTCTGTAGAACAGGGGGTGATCATACAAACTCCACTCACTCTGTAGAACAGGGGGAGATCATACAAACTCCACTCACTCTGTAGAACAGGGGGAGATCATACAACTCCACTCACTCTGTAGAACAGGGGAGGTCATACAAACTCCACTCACTCTGTAGAACAGGGGGTGATCATACAAACTCCACTCACTCTGTAGAACAGGGGGAGATCACACAAACTCCACTCACTCTGTAGAACAGGGGGAGATCACACAAACTCCACTCACTCTGTAGAACAGGGGGAGATCATACAAACTCCACTCACTCTGTAGAACAGGGGGAGGTCATACAAACTCCACTCACTCTGTAGAACAGGGGGTGATCATACAAACTCCACTCACTCTGTAGAACAGGGGGAGATCATACAAACTCCACTCACTCGGTAGAACAGGGGGAGATCATACAAACGCCACTCACTCGGTAGAACAGGGGGAGATCATACAAACGCCACTCACTCGGTAGAACAGAGAGATCATACAAACTCCACTCACTCGGGAGAGCAGGGGGAGATCATACAAACTCCACTCACTCTGTAGAACAGAGAGATCATACAAACTCCACTCACTCGGGAGAGCAGGGGGATATCATACAAACTCCACTCACTCTGTAGAACAGGGAGATCATACAAACGCCACTCACTCGGTAGAACAGAGAGATCATACAAACTCCACTCACTCGGGAGAGCAGGGGGAGATCATACAAACTCCACTCACTCTGTAGAACAGGGAGATCATACAAACTCCACTCACTCTGTAGAACAGGGAGATCATACAAACTCCACTCACTCTGTAGAACAGGGAGATCATACAAACTCCACTCACTCGCTCTGTAGAACAGGGGGAGATCATACAAACTCCACTCACTCACTTTGTAGAACAGGGGGAGGTCATACAAACTCCACTCACTCTGTAGAACAGGGGGAGATCATACAAACTCCACTCACTCTGTAGAACAGGGGGAGATCATACAAACTCCACTCACTCACTTTGTAGAACAGGGGGAGGTCATACAAACTCCACTCACTCTGTAGAACAGGGGGAGATCATACAAACTCCACTCACTCTGTAGAACAGGGGGAGATCATACAAACTCCACTCACTCTGTAGAACAGGGGGAGATCATACAAACTCCACTCACTCACTCTGTAGAACAGGGGGAGATCATACAAACTCCACTCACTCTGTAGAACAGGGGGAGATCATACAAACTCCACTCACTCTGTAGAACAGGGAGAGATCATACAAACTCCACTCACTCTGTAGAACAGGGGGAGATCATACAAACTCCACTCACTCTGAGTGACGGGGGGGGGGGGGACCTAGTGGAGAGGGGGGGGGGGTGTTGGGGGGTACCCCCACCTTGCTCTCAATGTCCACGAGCGACACGGAGCGCTCGTCCACCTGGAGCAGCATGTCCTGCGTCCAGATCTTTCCTGTCGAGTCCAGCAGACGCAGGCGGCGGATGCCGTCCTCCAGGTTCACGAGGCCCTCCTTGCGGTCCATCTCAAAGGTCGAGAGGTGCTGGGGGGGGGGGGGGCGGGGGGGCGGGACGAGGTTACGGTGACAAAGCACAGACAAAAGATCCCTCCATCCCCGTATAGCCTTCTACAAGCTGTCGGGGCAAGTGCACGCATTCCTCCTGGTTGCCGTCTTTGACGGGTGCCGTCTGAGCGTCGCCCGCTTGACGTTTTTTGGGGCCTTGTCCGCGGGGTGGACCGTGCGCTCTCGGTAGCTGCGATCTACAAATACAATTACGAACTAAAATATCAGCCAGCAATCTAGTTTCATTTCACCAGGTGCGAGGCCCCGCTACCGAGCTTCGTAGCTCTCTTTCGGAGTCGACCTGATGGCCTGCTCCACGTAGTGGTTTATCGTCAGCGTCGATATCTGTCGCAGCAGCCAAATACGCAAACTCCAAATATACAGCAGCAGGCGTCGTCGGGGTCGGGATAGAAACCACGACCCACTGTATACCAGGCGAGGTAGTCAACATCTCACCACCTATGGCGGCTGGCACAGCACAGGAAGGGGGAGGGTGGCCAGCACCACACCGGGACACCGAATCACACACACACACACACGTGTCCACACAGCAGCACATGCACCCACGCGCACCCACGCACACACACGCACCCACGTACACACCCACACACCCACGCACACACCCACGCACACACCCACGCACACAACCACGCACACAACCACGCACACACCCACGCACACACCCACGCACACACCCACGCACACACCCACGCACACACACGCACCCACGCACGCACCCACGCACGCACCCACGCACGCACCCACGCACACACCCACGCACACACCCACGCACACACCCACGCACACACCCACGCACACACCCACGCAACGCAGCGCTCACCTCCACGTGGTACTGTGCCGTTTCGGCCTTGATGTTGCTGGAGCGAGCATAGTTCTTGCGTTGCTCTGTTGGGACAACACAGCACCACGCACGGCCTCACGTCACGGGGCAGGGCACGGCCGCGGATAGCGGGGGGAGTGGGGGGGGAGTCACACGGAGAGCCACACGGAGAGCCACACCGAGTGGGGGAGGGGGGGGGCAATCGCTATTTTACGGAGACACTGGCCAAGTCAGGGCTCACGTGCGGGCTCTCCAAGGCCCGCTCCGTGTCGCCGATGTATCGAGGACCGCCACCGTCTCTCTCGTGTTCACCGCACGGCGCGGCTCTCGAATCACGCGAGTTGTTTGTGTTTTGTGACAGAGTTCGAATAAAAAAAAAAGAATGTCCCTTTCTTGTTGTTTTTAGTTTGCCGACCCCACCGAGCCAGCTCAGGTGGCGGTGTGCGACTCTCGCAGAGTGGGAACGGTGGAGCCCTCGCCGCGGCGCGCTCCCTCCACCTCGGGGAACACTTTTCACACAAAAGACAAAGATCCCCCCTACCGTGAAGCCTCTTGACAGACTGTCGGGGCAAGTGCTGTTAGTAGCGAGCAGCGGCACCTATGGAGGCCGCCACCGTGCCGCAGGAGAGGGGGCGCGAGTGGTTAGCGCTACGCCCGCCCGACCGCCTTTGTCTCCCGGTGGCGACGTTCACACACCACACCGATTACTCATTTGAGGCCGAGTCGACCTAGGCGAGGGCCCGGGACCGGTTCGCTACTTTTCGCACAAGGCAGTCCCCCCCCCCCTTCCCCCCTCTGGCAGCTACTCGGCGTTCAGTCAGGGGTCCTCCTCGTCGCGACGATGATGACCCACCGTGTGAATGGACGGACGACGGACAAAGGGATGGATGAACGGACAGACCGACGAACCGACGGACCGACGGACAGAGAGACAGACGGAGCGACGGAGCGACAAACGCCGATGGGGACCGGTGTCAAACGCCCCACCTCCCCCCACCCCGTGCCACCGTCTAGCGCCGACGTGGGTAAACTTTGCGGTGCGCGGCAGAAAATCGATTGCGGTCCCGACCGCGAGACGTCTCGGCGCTCACCGCCGCGCCCGGAAACTTTACGACGCCGCCGCTGGAAAGAGAGAGACAAAGGCCTCTCTCTCTCTCCCGCTCTCTCTGTGCAAGAGAGCTCCACGCGGCGCACAGAGCACGCCGGCGACACCAACCCCGGGAGCAGCTCCCTCGCAGGTTTGAGTGCCGCAGCTTCGAGCGGCTGCGGCGATTGTTTTGGTCGTATCTGTAACTTGGGATTCACTCCGGACGGCTTTTTCAAAAGGAATTTTGCCAATTATGGTCACAGCAGATGCATCTCCTTCCAACTGTTGATTGTGTATTGCATTTATTTGTTTCCTGTAACGCAGTTGTCTCTGCTCAGATCTCCATCTTGCTGTCTCTCTGCTCTGATCTATGTCTGGCTGTCTCTTTGCTGTTTTGCTGGGATTGCGGTTTGCTTAACTTTTATGAGGGAGAATGTTTCCACCATGCCGCCCTCTGGAGCACCTACACGGCTGCCGCCCTGCATCAAGCTCGCAAGGCCCCACAGTTAGCCACGGCGCCCATCGTCCGACCCACAGCGACGAGCCACTTCAGATGTGTACGTACACACACATGCGTGTGCACGTGTCTATGGAGGAGGCTCGTGAAGGACGCTGCTGCTACTGGGCAGTTGGAGACAGTCGCCCACCAGCAACAACAGCGGGCAGAGGAGCGACGCTCACAACAACGAGCGGAGCGTCGGGCGGCTAAAACGCAGAAAATTAGCAAAATAGGGGGCACAGCTGGCGCATCTGCCAGTCATCCGAGTTGGTCAACCCATGGCTCCTGGGTCTGTCCCGTGACAACCTCCGGTCAGCGAGCCTTCGACACTTCACGTGGCCTCAAAGCACACACCTGGCCTGGCACAAGTGCCGTGGTGACGTCACCCAGTTGCGAATGGTGGCAGCCGTCGTAGTTGTTGCTGTTTGCGTGCGTAATCGTGCGCGCACGCACAACCTTACCTGTCAGCGACGTCCCACCACGACCACCCCACAGACACATGCCCATCGCACGCACCGGACCAATCCTCCCTCTCCCCCTGCTTCAAAACCCCCAAATCGACAAGAGCCGGCGGCGGCGGCGGCGCTCCAAGCGGCGCGTCCTGACGGTGCGGCGGCTACCACGCCTCCCGCGACGAGATAATAGCGACCGCTGCAGCCGCGGCGGCGTTGCTATAAACACGGGCGGCGCTTTATTTATTTATTTATCATTGTCCGTCGGCGCGTGCCGCACACGTACCGTACAGCTGCTTGGCGGTGGTGCGGCGCTCCATGGCGCGCGGCGCAGAGAGGACGTCCCCGGGACTTTGTCTGCAGGCCACGCACACGCACAGACGTTCAGACGCACGCACGGGCGCGAAGACACGCGCAGACACGGAGATGCAGTGTCTGCGTGCGTCTGCATCGACGGTGCTGAAGATCCCCGGCTGGGACCTCCAGCCGCCATCGTCCACTGGACCAACCATGGCAACAGCTGACGATGCGGAGAGCTGACGAGGACGATGATGACGATTATGTTGATAGCTGACGAAAATAACGATGATGCAGATTGCTGACGATGATGATGCAGATAGCTGATGATGGTGATGAGCATGATTATAAATGGAGGGAAAAGCCGTAGAATGCGGAGAATAATCCAGGCAAACCAAGGGGAAAGAGAGACACGCAAACTCCTAATATACAGCAGGCATCAGGGTTGAGATTGAAGCCACGACCTCCTGCATACCAAGTGAGGAAATTACCGTCTCGCCACCGCGCCCCCCATGGACTCACAAACACGGAGGGGTCATCATCTATAGACTCGCACAGACCCATAGACTGGCATAGAGACCCATATACTCAAGAGATCTATGGATTCACATTGAGACCCACAGTCCCTAAGACCCACACAGAGATCTGTACAAAGGCAGCATCATCATCATCACCTCAGCAGTGATGATTCACCACTCCCGCTATTCAAGATGCAATCACGTGGCTTTTTGAACCACCTCGATCTACAACTACAGCTGCTGCTTTGCATTAACGACATCAGCCACGCGGAGGATACAGATCCATAGACTCACACAGAGATCCATAGACTCACATGGAGACCCTAAGACTCACACAGAGATCCATAGACTCACACGGAAAACCCTAAGACTCACACAGAGATCCATAGACTCACATGGAGACCCTAAGACTTACAGAGAACCACAGACTCGCACAGAGAACCACAGACTCGCACAGAGATCCACAGACTCGCACAGAGATCCACAGACTCGCACAGAGATTCACAGACTCGCACAGAGAACCATAGACTCGCACAGAGACCCATAGACTCACACAGAGACCCATAGACTCGCACAGAGAACCATAGACTCACACAGAGAACCATAGACTCGCACAAAGATACAGACTCACATGGAAACCCTAAGACTCACACAGAGATCCATAGACTCACATGGAGACCCTAATACTCGCACATAGATCCATAGACTCGCACAGAGATTCACAGACTCACACAGAGAACCATAGACTCGCACAGAGATCCATAGACTCACACAGAGATCCATAGACTCACACGGAGACCATAGACTCACACAGAGACCCATAGACTCGCACAGAGAACCATAGACTCACACAGAGAACCATAGACTCGCACAAAGATACAGACTCACATGGAGACCCTAAGACTCACACAGAGCTATCGAGCCACAACAGATACCCTAAGACTCTAAGAAGGAGGCACCATCACAGCGGTGAAGCGGCACTCCCTACCCCTCATCGTGTTTTATGTTTATAGATGACACCTTCGTAGCCCACGGCGCTTTGCATCGTGTTGAGAGCGGGGACGACAAGGAGAGGCGATTCAAGATGGCAGGGGCAGAGCAAGGGTCGAGGAGTGAGTGGCTGTAACAGAGGGCACCTTACACGGGAGAGTCACACGGGAGAGTGAAACGGGAGGGTTATACGGGAGAGTTACACGGGGGAGTGAAACGGAGCGGTGAGGACTTTTGAATCCGTTGGAGCGGAGTGATGGACAAAGGCAGGGAGACAGAGCAGAGGAGAGTTGCAGGAGCCACCATCCGGCTCTTCAACCACCTCATCATCATCCACCACCTCCTCAACATCATCCCCATCAACCACCACCTCATCATCATCATCAACCACATCATCAACATCAACCTCATCATCATCATCCCCATCAACCACATCATCATCATCATTATCATCATCCCCACCAACCACCTCATCATCATCATTATCATCATCCCCATCAACCACCTCATCATCCCCATCAACCACCGCAATGTAAACCCAGAGCCGTGATCACAGTCAACGTCAACCACAGGAGGAATTCCACGCCCTGGACACGGCCTGTTAAATGCACTGGCAACCATTTATGTAATCATTCACCTCATGTCATTCATTACCGAAATACCTGGAGACACACAGCGATGACAGAGAGATAGGTAGAGAGCCTGGAGATAGAGAGACCCACACGTCAACACACCGCTCCAGAAGGACACACACAAGACAAAGATCTCCCGCGTAGCCTCAACAGACTGCAGGGGCAAGTGTCGTTCATGAGTAGCAGCACCCGTGAAGGCCGGCACGGCACACGAGGGGGTGGGTGGCCAACACCACGCCCGGCCGCCTTTGTCTCCCCCAGTGGCGATGTTTACACACCACTGCACCAGGTACTCATTTCAGGTCGAGTCGACCTAGGGGAGGCCCAGGACCGGTTCAGATAATCGTCACTGGTGTTGGCCGTAAGCGGGAATCGCATCTGGGTCGCCAGGTTTGTAGCGCAGCGTAGCGCTAACCACTACACTACCACTCCCCACAGTAACACACCACATACACCACACACACACACACCACACAGGCACACACCACACACACACAGACACACCACACAGGCACACACCACACCCACACACCACACACCACACACACACAGCACACAGACACACAGAGACACACACACCACACAGACACACACACACACAGACACACCACACAGGCACACACCACACACACACACCACACACACCACACAGACACAGCACACAGACACACACACCACACAGACACACAGAGACACACAGACATCACACAGACACACAGAGACACACACAGACATCACACAGACACACACACACCCCAGAACGGGGGCCACACGTCCATCTGCCTCGCGGCCCAACGACTCTTCCTCCTCCTCTGCGGGCCAGCGCGAGGGAGAGTCCTCCTCGTTGTCCTCCCCCTCGGGCCCCAACCCTCGCAGGGATCGGCACGCGTGCACCGAACCGTTCGGTACGCACCGAACCGCTCGGTACGCACCGAGCCAATCGGCACGCGTCGTCGGCTCACCGCAGTGGCGCGTGGCGTAGTGAGCGGCGAGTTGCTCCCCACGTGGCCGCGCTCGGTGGCTCCTCCCGCCGACTCGCTCGCTCCCGGCGGGACTCTCTGAAACGACGGGGCAGACGGGAACACTTTTTAGAATTCAGCCTCTCGCATCTCCACGGGTGGATATACAAACAACGAATCAAGCCGCACTGCGTGGCGACGTCAACAAGTTACACAACAAATATGAATCGATTGTGAACACCGCGACCATGACGATAATGAGGAGGAGGAAGAGGAAACTCTGCGATGGCGCTTGCAAGTGGCAGCTTCGTGCCAGCAAGGCGCCCCCCCCCCCCCCCCCAGGTGTTCAAGCAAAAACATTTCATCACTTGACTTGACATTCGGTGGCTCAGCGGTAAAGCGAGATGCCCCTCGCAATCAGAACGGCTTGAGCTCACATCGCGGTATGCAGCGAGTGGTTACACTGCAGATACCCCCACCCCCTGCCATGGGAACGTGGAATGTCCCACCGCTGGCTCTGCAGGGCTGTAAACGGCAGGCGAGCTCCGATGCCTTACTTCCCCCGGCACCTGCGATAAGCAGAGTTGGCTACGTACGGTACAAAAGAAGTTCAACACATGTACACTATACGCTATACGCTACATACACGATACACACACTACACAAACCATGTAAGAGCAATGACATCTCTTTCGACGCAAACTCCACCACTTTACAAAAGTGGAGTTGGATTCCAACCTCTGAAGCCACTGCCCCTAGCGTTGGGCACTGCGACTCGCGAACTGAACATTTAAACCGGGCAGCCTCCCTGCCCTGCACTGCCTTCAAGTTTCACACACACAGACACACTCGAGTTTATTGTTAACTTAACAAAGCAGTGAACCATCTTGCCCCAGCCTACACCCATTACGCCCCGCTCAAAGTCCCTAACATCTGGGGGATGCAGATCTGCTCTCCGCATTCCCAGGTCGAAGCTTCTTCGGTCGATGGGTGACCGAGACTTTTCCCCGTGTAGGCTACGGAACGGTCTTGCACGAGATACCAGAAGGGGCTTCTCTCTCAGAGAGTCTGTGGACATCTTTTTAATTGGTCTTTAAACCGATTTACGCATATATACGCTTCCGCTTGTTAAACTTTTAGTTCATTTTGTGAATCTATTCTTAGAATGTGTTTATAATATAATTATTATGATGCCGTCTGCTGCCGTGTCATGTACAGCACTTTGAGATCCTTGATCAAAAGCCGCTAGATCGATAGAATGATTCTTCTTCTTGGTTCTTTCGGTAAAGTCACGTAGAAGGGAAATAATAAAATAAAACATAATTAAATCATTCTCACGACATATCGGCCACAACGTAAGCAGCCGTCCACAGGTGAAGAACAGGGATGTCGGAAAGACAGCGTCTGAATGATTATTATCATTATCACGCTCACAAAGACTGGCATGGCTACCTCAACCTACAGGTTTCCACGCTGCTGTGATTCAGGCGCCACGGTGGCTAGGAGATGTTAACTACCTCGCCTGGTGTACAACAGGAGGTTGCGAGTTCAATCCAGATCCCGACGCCTGCTGCTGCTGCTGTATATTTTGAGTTTGTCTCTTTCTGCGCGTGTGGATTTTCCTCCAGATCATCCGTTTTCCCCCCTCCACATTTAGAATCGACTATCACGCGTTTAGAGTATTTGGCTGCTAGAAATGTCCACGTGATGATGAGAAGCCACTTGCTTCAGCTATCATTTGTGGCCACATCGCTAAGCGGGGCCCTCACCTGGCAAACTAAAAATATGATTCTTAGTTTATATCATGGGACCTCCTTTGCCAGTACCAAAATATGAGAATAGGTTTTCCCCTTTTTTCTGGCAACAAAGCAGCTGTGTTAAGATGTTAAAACAACGAACTGAAACCTTTTACAAGGAATCATGTCTGCATTAACCACAATGCTTGTGGTCAGAAAGCCGTCTGGTGTGGACCAATCACTTTCAAGGAAGATGCATATATTATCAGATAATGTTTTTGTTTGCATTCTGACCACAAGCATTGTGGTTAATGCAGAAATGATTCCTTGTAAAAGGTTTCAGTTTGGTGTTTTAACAACTTAACGCAGCTGTTTTGTTGCCAGAAAAAAGGTGAAAAGCCTATTCTCATGTTAGTTTATAGTTTAGTTTTTTTATAACGCAGTTAACCGATAGCACAGTCCACCCCACAGAAAGGGCTCAAAAACGACAAGCAAATGACAATAAAACGGCACCATACGGCAACAGGCGTTTGGGGGGTGGTGAACACATGGCCCTTGGATCCTGGGTGCAACAAGTAGAATGGACATTGTTGCTACAACCCCAGCGACTTTTGCAAACGAGCTCCCGTGACGGAGCGAGCGAGCGAGCCAGCGGTGACTCGATGTGGCCGCAGCTGCAGCGCTGTCCGCCCCCCCTGGTGCCGATCGTGTCCCCACCACCGGGACGGAATTCACCCTCCATCAGAATCTTTAACTCACACCCTGGGGAGACAATCCGACGAGCTATGACGCCCTCTCGTTTTTTACTACAGATGTTCTAAGTCGGGGGTGGGTCGGCAAGTTACAACGACGGTCACCCACCCAGTCACCCACCCAGTCACCCACCCAGTCACCCACCCAGTCACCCACCCAGTCACCCAATCCAGTCACCCACCCAGTCACCCACCCAGTCACCCACCCAGTCACCCACCTAGTCACCCACCCAGTCACCCACCCAGTCACCCACCCAGTCACCCACCTAGTCATCCACCTAGTCACCCACCTAGTCACCCACCCAGTCATCCCACTGCAGGTCACCTCATTTCTCTCTCTGCTTCTTCCCTCGCACTGCTCCACTCTGGAATACCCTCCTCCTCCCACAATCACCACCACCACCACCACCAACACCACCACAAGCATCACCACCACCACCACGAGCATCACCACCACCACCACTACCATCGTCTCTTCCACTGCCCCAAGCTCTCACAACAATAACAACAACCTCGCTCAACCCAAGGGACGCTGTTCACGGATCTCGTTATCAGTTAGGACTCCGATCATCGTGCCGTTAATTGCTGGCCGCACAGCAAGCGTTGTTAAAGACGCGCCAATTGCCGTTGCTTCACAGATTGAGGTGATGTCATCGCCACGAAGAGGTGCAGGAGGTGACTATGATCATCGGTCACCATCTGACCCAACCCGGGTTCCCTAGTAAGGGTGTCAAGGCCTCCCAAGGAAGAAATGTCGTGGGAATGTGGAAGGTTCACATTCCTATGACGCTGGCGAGTTTAACCATGCAGCAACCAACATTGACTCCCCACTCCCCTCTCCCCCTCCAAAGTGGTTCTCATTTATCAGCTATCGGAGGGATGGTGGGCTGGGTCAACCCCCTCAAACTTGGATTTGAACTCACGACCTTCCGACGGCGAGCCGCTCGCACCACCGCAGATCCACCTGGCCACGGTGGCACGGCCAGAGGGGTGGCGAGTGGCACGGCCAGGTGTAGCGCGTAGCACCGATTCTTGTTGTAGAGGCTCAGTGTTAAAAAAGAAAACAAAATAAATTAAATCACGACGTTTCGGAGGCAACACAAGCTTCCGTCTCCAGGTGGAACCGTCACAGAAAAATTCCACCTGAAGACGGAAGCTTGTGTTGCCTCCGAAACGTCGTCATTTAATTTATTTGTTTTCCTTTTTAACCTACGTGACCTTTACGGAAAAAACCAAAGAGTATGGATCCTTGCAGTCACGAAAGCTTCAAATCTAGAAAGGCTCCGTGTTATCGTATCGGGGCCGCATTGCCACAGTCGCCATGCCAGGCGACGTGCCGCGAACCTCGGCCCGGCAAGGGCAGAGCACGGACCCACTGGACACCAGAGGTCGCAAACGGGTTTTGATTCCTTACCCGTACCCGGCCGCACCAGGGTCGCAAACGGGTACCCGTACCCTACCCGATACCCGGCTACCCGTACCCGGCCGGGTACGGGTAGGGTACGGGTAGGGTACGGGTAGGGTACGGTTAGGGTACGGGTAGGGTACGGGTAGGGTACGGGTACGGGTACCCGATTGAGACCTCTGGGATGAAGCCATGTTGCAGGCGCGGGTGGGTTGATTCTAGGAACTTGAATTGTGAGAAGAGACAAGACGTTGGTAAATGAGTGACAAACGGTGACTCACCAGTGACTCACGACCTGCCCGTACCCGGCCGCACCAGGGTCGCAAACGGCTACCGGGTATCGGGTAGGGTACGGGTATCGGGTACCCGGTTGCGACCTCTGCTGGACACGGAGCGCGATGGATTCCTCCAGTCGCTAAAACAAGACTCCAATTCTGGACCTCTCTCGCTCTCTCCCTCTCTCTCTGCGGGTTACCAGGGGGATGGGCCAGGGGGATGGGCCATCCCCCTGGTAACCCGCACACAAACACCGCAGCGTGCCCAACAAGCGAGGACGATGCGCGTTCGGTGCGTTTAAAATAGATCGAGCCGACGAGAAAGAACAAAAGTCGCGGCGCTGTAAACGCGCGGCTCCCAGTGCGTCACGAGCGGCCAGAGAGCGCGAGGTTGGTGTGGTGAGGGCGGTGGTGGTGGTGGGGGTTGTTACAATCGTAAAAAGGTGAACACGAAAAAAACCCACGCACTTTAGAGAACTGCGTCGTCGATAAGGAACGCTTCCTATCAGCCGCGCTGTCCGCACAAACAGATAAAAAAAAACCTTCAACGCCCAAACGGGGGCGGGGGGGGGGAAGTTGAACCGAGAGAGAACGAGGACGAGCGAGGGGACGAGCGAGCCAGTGGTCGGTGGTGCGGAACGGTCCATCACCATTTTTGCCGGGACCGGTCAACCAGCCCCCCCCCACCCTCCCCGCCCCCCCCCCTCAGCCCCCCCCCACCCTCCCCGCCCCCCCCCCCCTCAGCCCCCCCCCACCCTCCCCACCCCCCCCCCGCCGTGTTGACCGCGGGGGACAAAAGGCACCAGCGGCAGCGCCGCTGACGCAGGCAGCGCCGCCCAGGTGGGTCAACAACAACAACAAGAACTCGTGGCAATGGAACATCAATAAATACTCAACCCGGCTGGGCATTCCGCGGGACCTGTGGATAGAA